TCCTCCTCCTCCTGCTCCTCCTCCTCCTCCTCCTCCTCATTCTCCCTCTTCCTCCTCCATTCCTTCTCCTTGTAGATAACTCCTCCCTGTCGCACCCCGAGGTTAATTTTTAGGGCGGGCCGGGCGTTTATCCTAATAATTCCTCACCACTTATGACTCTGAAGCTTAAACGGCGACAACAATTTCACACATGGAGGGCGGGCCGTGTTCAAACTGTGGTTCTCGCCTTAGCGCCGCGCGCATTCTTTGTAACAGCTGCAAGGGTTTCACGGACTGGCTCCTTTTCAACATGTGGCTCTCGTTTTAGCGCCGCGCACACTCGCTTCAACCATTTGCTGGAGTTTCACGAATTGAGGGCGGGTGGTTTTCAACATGTGGCTATCGATTTAGCGCCGCGCACATTCGCCTTAAACATGTGCAAGAGTTTCACGGGTTGAAGGCGGGTGGTTTTCAAAATGTGGTTCCCGCCTCAGCGCCTCGCACACTCTTTGTAAAAATCGCAAAGAGTTTCACGGATTGCGGGAGGTTCCTTTTTCAACATGTGGCTCTCGCCTTAGCGCTGCGCACATTCGCTTCAAACATTTGCAAGAGTTCCACGGACTCCCATGATCAACGTACCAAGACATGTGTTTTAGAAGGGTGCAGGGCGATGCGGGCGCAACGATTATGTTGATTCGCAGTGTTGAAATCCAAATAATGGCCTTATGGCGAGATTCCGGATCGCCAAAACGCAGCAGTCAGGTTGACACATGGCCTTGAAATCCCGAGAACAATGTTTTGGCATGCTTCAAGATCTTCACACGGTTGTCTTTCAACGAGGCAGTTCCCTGAATGGAAATGAACCTTTGTAGGGGCCTGTAAAGAGGGAGCTTGGAGGAAGGGTGAATTTCAACATCGTTGATGACTCTTGGGTTTACACTGGTCCTCCTCCTCCTCCTCCTACTACTTCTACACCTCCTCATCCTCCTCCTCCTCACCCTCCTCCTCCTCCTCCTCTTCCTCCTCTTCCTCCTCTTCCTCCACCTCCTCCTCCTCCTCCTGCACCTCCTCATCCTCCACCTCCTCCTCCTCCTCCTCCTCCTCCTCCTCTCACTCCGCCTCTTCAGCATGTAGCTCCCGCCCACCGGCAGTGTGCCGCGCCACGGCGCAGCCAAACACCTCGCGGCGATGCCGGGCACGGCCGCCCTGGCTTGCAGGGGGGGTGCGGGGGAGGCGCTGGGCCGGGCGGAAGAGGGGAAGAGGGGGAAAAGAGGGGAGGAGACACCCCAGACATGCACGCGTCGCGGACACATCTCGACAACGAAATTTCAACTGGTTTCGGTCCTGGGATCGGAACTTCGGGGAACGCTGCATTGAGAAAATCAATACATCGGATGTCTGGGGCCTGAGCAGGGTCTACTACGTATGTGTTCGACCATGTGCCCCTTGTTTGCCCGTCGTCCCTCTCTGCGCATTCTTTGGCGGTCTTTTGACGATTTTCGGTGGTCTGGCGGTCGTTGGCGGTTTTTACCGGTCTTCTGACGGCCTTCGGCGGCCTTTGGTGGTCCTCGGCGACTTCTGGCGGCCTTCGGCGGTTTCTGGCGAGAGAGCTGGATGGCTGCTTTCAAAAAAGGGTTCTATGACCGAACGCCGGAAGGAAAGAGGGGGGAGGCAGAACCTGGTCTGAGCCGGCACCCTGGAAAAGGATTGCGATGCTCGTTCGGCTTTAGACCCCCACACCGTGCCCACTCCCTCCTGTCCCCGCCTTGGAATGGGCTCATTCTGACGCTACCGAGGGGGATGATGACGAATAATGGCTTATGTGAGCTCTCTTCTACGCGGCAAGTATGGGGAGGAGTGGCGGTGAAAGTAACAGGTGATGAGGATGAAGAATCGGGATCAAGGGGATGAGGAATTGCCCGCGGCGCCGGGCCGGAAGAAACTGTCAGCAATGTTCAGCGTGTGCCGCTTCGGGCCCAGAGGCTGCTTTAAATCGATCAGGAACACGCCACCCCGGTGGCGATCAAGGACGGGCTTTTGAACGGGTGGGCGCCCCTGGGAAGGGGGCCTGACAAGGAGGGGCAGAAGCAGGAAGGGCGATGAGGGTGAGGAGGATGAGGAAGATGAAGAGGACGATGGATGGGGGATTGTGACGTTCAATCACTTTTGGGGCAGCCTGGGTGGCTCGGACCGCACGATGAGATCCCCCTCGACATACAGACAGGCCAAGGCAAAACAACACAGGAGAGGTGTGAGGGACGACTTTCGAGGAAGATGGGGGGACGAGGACGAAGAGGACAATGCAATGCCGATAAGGGGGGTGCACGCGCGGATCGAGTCTAATATCTTTATCTCGAGATAATACGTATCATCACCAAGTTTGCGAAATTCAGTGTACTACCGCAATTGAACTTGACAACTTGGCTGGGCAAGTCGGGATACGCATCTAATACAAACCAGTGATGGTCGCTCCATGTTCAAGATTGCGAGACTGCATAGTTGAAGCGAGCAAAACGAGAATGGTGATGGCGATGTGTATGGGGCGCTTCTGGCAAGGAGGGGGGAGAAGGGTAGGGAGCCCACAAAGGACGTACGCGCCCAACTATGTACATGAACACGGCCCCTCGATCTGCGAGACTGGCCGCGTTGTACGACTGTTTGCGCAACGCGTGCCCTCGAAACCAGCGTGGATTCATGTACGTGTACGTCCTTCTTTCGCTCCTGAGCAGGGGGCCATTCAAATCCCACCTCCCCCGCCTCCTTGCATGGATGCGGGGTCGGCCCGAGGGTGTGCGTGCGTGGGATGGGCGACAGCAGGGGAAGCGCCCGGCCCCCAACAGCCAACAGCTCCTCCTACAGACCATCGACCATCGTTGCAGGCGGGTCCTCCCAGACCCTTGGTCAACTTCTGCCCGCGTAGAAGGAAACGACCCACACGACCCGCTCGCGTGTGGGGTGCTCCTCATCCCTTCCACGCATATGGCCGCCAGACACGAAACCGCGTGGGCGCCCATTCACAACATATTAGAAGAGCGGCTGGCGTCCCTGGTCAACGCCGGGCGCCAGGATGGACGCCAGGCCATCGCATAAATGCTCACGGGCGGGACTGCAGAAGGTGGAGTAGGGTCCTCATCCTGGCAAGAAGCGCTATCCGGACTGATGTGGGGAGCTGTGACAAGCAACCTTCGGAACATGACACGGGAGACGATGCGCCGGCTGGACATCCCAAACGAAGGTTTCGATTGGCTCGCAGGTTTCTGGGACACGCAGGGACTCCCAGAGGTATACAACCCATCCTCGCTGGAATCCATGACCATCAACCTTGCCCTGGACCGAGCCTGTCTCCGCCTTCGTCGAAGAGGAAGGCACATAGCACCACCCAACGTCCTCCCCCAGTGGAGCCCTTCGACCCAATTTCGAGCGACCTCCTACACCACACACTCGTGGGTATCAAAGGAAAACAACCCGACAGGCTCCACTGGTGGCCCAGACTGCATGGACCCGCCATCTTCGTCCCTGGACCCGCGCCAGCAACAAGCGGCAACGTTGACGGCCCTGCAGACAATGATCCAAGACAGCCCGAGCTCTACTATATTGGTCCGGCTGAGGAATGCACCCTCCAACGCCACCCATGGCATAGCACGCACGGCACCCGCCACAAGACCTGGAGGCGCACCCCAGACAGCAGCATGCAGGCGCAGTCCATATGCACCGGCGCCAAGAGGCAGACCAGGGCAACCCAACGCACAGACCGGCGGGGCGACATGGGCCCGCCACCGATCCCGCACAGCCGACCCCTCCAGGGCGAGAGCACGACGGCCCAGCCCCACAAGTACCCCCATCCCCCAGAGCAACATCGACTGCCAACCCGATGCACGCTCCAGGCTGAACCCAGGGCCCAGACTCCAGACCTGCGAGCGCAGCGGGATCAGCGACCAACGTTGCCGCGCCCCCCCTGGCCTGGAGCAGCACAACGTCCAAAAGGCAGTCGACGTACCCGCCCCGGACACGGGCAGCGATGCATCGCAGACAGGCGCAGTTGACGCGCATGACGGTCACAACATCGGCGGCCCAGCACGAGCTGGCACCCCCACGGGGGCCGGCACTGGGCGTCGGCGCGACCGAGCTGCCACATCCAGCGCCCCACCCAGCAGGACACGCCGTCAGAGACGCACCGGCCCAGCTTGACGAGACTGGGAGAGCGGCGACGGGTTCCCCCCCCTAGACACCCGCGACGTCCTCCGACCAACCTGGGAGGCACGCGCGGACCGAAGCAAAGGACTAACGCCCGTACTCCCACAGGACCCTTTGATCGAGGCACACCTACGCGCACGAGTCCACGTGCGCGGCCACAACTGCCCTTGAGGCCGCAGGGATCGCGCAGCGGACGTACAAAGTGGCCTCCAACACTGACACGTCAGCTTTCCTGCGATGGAACCCGAACGCCCCCGCGGAGCGCACGGGTGACGCAGGGGAAAGACCGCCCCAAGACACGAATCCCGTAACAGTGGAAGCCCAGCCACGGCGGCCTGTCACCCTAGTGTCTCTGTTCGACGGAGTCGGTACAACGCGGTTGGCAATGGGCGATCTTGCCAACGTGCTAAGGAAGAAAACTGATTTCCACGCATCCGCACTAGCTGAGATCGACCGGGACCTAGCAGGCAGGGTAGCCAGGCATTGGAGCCAGGACAGAGCCAACAGAATGGACGGAGGCCCAGCACACAACATCCTCGCCGCGGATGTCTGGGACCTCTTCATCAAGCAGACTCAACACTGACGGGGTACCTCACACCACATTGTCGCCCTGGGCTGACTTTCTCGCTAACTTGTTGCTCAACTCACTGCTCTTAATCGCGAGAGGACGCCCCTGCAACAACCTGTCGCGCGCAGGCACCCTACACGGACAGGATGGACTGGTGGGACGCTTATCCTGGCACTTCTTCGCCATCCCGCTGGCGGCATGGACGGCTAACGAACTCCGTCATGACCTTCACGTGCACGCGGCTAGCGAGAACGTGCAGCCCATGGAAGATACCCACCGAAATGCAATGTTCGAGGCCCTCGGGGACCTACCCCTTGACACTGCAATCATTCTGAACGCTGCAGCATGGGTTACCAGCCCCAGAGCCAGGACCTGGATGGCTACGTTCGGGCATCCAGCAACAAACGACAGAATGAGCTTCGCACGACCTCCCTCTCCATGGGAGCCCAGGTGGACCCTCCGGCACGACGGGATCACTACCTAGCAGCTACCAGCTCGGGCTCCCAGGCCTACTGTACCACGAAGACAGTGACAGCGGATGCTTCCCCATGACGCTGGAAGAATTCACATTCCGAGTCCTGAGCATCCTGAACGCAACGGGAGCGGGCGCCCAGTGGCCAGGCGCCCGACATGGCCTGATCCTAGCGCACGCCGGGCGTCAACGGGAACTCCCGCAATCTGAGCAGGCCGTCGCAACCTGGGGAAAATGGCTATTGGCCAACGGGCGGCAACACGGGTTGAGGCCCCCGTCGCCACAAGAAAGGGCCAAGGCCAGTGGGATCGGCCAGTACCTTGAAGCCGTGGGCCCGAGCGGTCGCGCGCTGTTCGACGCCGTCGGCACCCACTTCGACCCGCGATGCCTCCAGCAGAGGCTCGTACCCCTGATGCGCGCTTGGGGGGAAGGGCGCGACATGAAAAGGCCGACATACCCAGAACACATGAAAATCATCCACATCTTCGACATCTTCGATCGGCTGCACGCAACAGTCAGGAGGGCACTCCCCTTTGCCACCCTGGTGCGCTCCCCCTTCCGCGCCGACGTCACCGCCCAGCTGGCAGCCGACGGGCTCCTGACGGCGGATGCGGCACAGAACATGGACTAACCCACGCCTTGGGACAGCCAGACGCTACACCAAGCGCTTGACTCGCCCCCTCTTGACGCGCCAATGCCCGCGGTCCGCTCTCGCCTGGCACCGGGCCAGGAAGGCCCTCGCATCCGCGAGAAGGGAGGCGGACCTTCCCCCCCTCCAGCAGCCAGGACAGGATCCCTCTGGCAGCTGGTCCACAACTCCCCCGTTCCTTCCAACCAAACCTGGGGCGACCTCTGTAGTGGGGCACTCTTGGAACGGCTAGCCCAACCCCCGGCACAACTGAGGCGCTCCGCGCTCCCCCGTCTCCTCACCTGGAACGGAAGGTACCTGCGCAGCACGCTTGCCCACAACAG